AGACTGATTATTGCTTGATTTTCTTATGCATTACGCGTTGTGCAAAGGTCTGTACCCTGGCCTTAAGGCTTCAGTATCTCCCGACTTTGTAACCTTAGCGATAATTACATTCCCGTGTTTTCAGTAGTGAGCACTTTCTTATTTATTCTTTCGCTCTTTGTCCGCTTTTCTCCCCTTGTCATTTCTCTGACAAAAGAATCTGATGTCATCTGTTTCACCCGTGAAGGTCGCGTATATGTGCGCGAGTAGTGTACTGTTCCAAGAACTAAATATAAAAAAAAAAGTTATTTTTCTCGTAGCGCGCTGAAACGTGTGCTGTGTTTTATAGAATTTACAGCTTTATTTTTCTAAAAAAATACAAGACTCCTGTACTCCAATTCTGTAACTCTTAAGCGGGGAGCACAGACTCTTGCATAACGTATAACGCATAAGGCATAAGAAATTCATCTAATCAGAGTTCTTTATTTCATGGAAAGGAAGCAAACGAAGGATTTTGATTGGTTCATTTTCTTATGCATTACGTGTTATGCGTTATGCAAGAGTCTGTGCTCCTCGTTTTAACGATAAATATCAGTATCGTTATTTTGTTACACAACTTTTTTTATATATAATACTTCCACAACAATATGGACTATCAAAATAATTATGTAAGACGCTCAAACTGCTAGAAAGCTAAAATATTTTGCAACATTGCTTATCATACTTGAGATTCCTATGTAATTATTTTAATAGTAAATAAAATTATTTTGTTTAAACAAAAGAATCAATTACTTTACTTAATTACTTTACTTTAAAAAAATGAATATTAATAAATATTTATCATAAACATTTTGTGCTGTCTGGGTAATAACAATAATTCAAATTTGCAGATGTAACATAAAAAATATAATTGAACGAGTTCGGAAGATTAAGTCCCAATAAAATATTGGGAAATGAGACATTGATTCCGATTATCGTTTTCGTTGATTGGTCGGCATCATTCCAACCACAACATACTCCCTACCTGCGGACATTCCCGATGGATTGCGCTTGTGTCTGGAGTAAGTGGTGAGTAAGTGATCCATATATAGACGCGCCCCTACGTTCCACCAACACATATGCGCACCTGTCACGCATATATACGCAGCGCGACCGCGGTGGAGCGCACTTTTTGTGCTTGAGCTTGAGCTACGGTGGAGAGGCTCTGTGTACGGAGTACAACAAAATAATTTTCCGGAGAGGAGGCCCGACGAGACCTGAAGATCCGCCATGCCTGGACGCCCACTTTGGCAGGTAAGCGAAGCGCCATTTCTTGAAATCGGAGCGCGATAAACGGGCCGTATCGCCGCGTCTCTCTTTTCTTTAATGTGTCGTCCATTTTCAACTCCAATTTGACGATTATTTTATTACATTTTATTAGAAACATTTCATCCCGTAAATTATATTGTGAAAAGAATAATGTTTTGCAATTATAAATAGGAATAAATAAATTTGACAATTACTGTATTTTACGGAAAAAAAAAATATAGTTAATATAATTAAAAATATTTAGTTGTGAGCAATATAGAAACATCATCCGAGTTATCTTTATGTGATAGGAATGGTTGATACGATTTATTTACTTTGAGGTGTCAACTACATCAATGTAGTTAGGCGCGATCTAGTTGTGACAACCAAAACTTGGTTGGGAGATCATTTACTATGAATAAGTCATATGTGTCCGTATAGTTGCGTCAATCATGACATTATAAAGCATGATGTATAATAATAAGAATTAAATTATTAAAAAGAATTTCTTGTTACATCATGCTATAAATTAAGTTGCAATTTTAAAAAGCAAAAGCGACTCACCACTCTTACAATTAAAAATACGTATGTGTGAAATGCCATCATTGCTGCAACATAACCTAACCTAATCATTGTACTATGGTTCAAGCAACCACATAGTTGCTCCATATTTTATTATTTAATCTGATTGGCATCACCAGATTTCTGTGTAGACCAACCATACTGTTTTTTCCGTGTATATTTAATAAATATTTAGTTGGCAGTATTCAACTAAATATTTATTAAAATTGACTATATTTTTTTTTCAGTGTACGATTTTACAATATTCTACGATAGCTGTTTCTTAGATTAAGGACAACTCTATTTACAGATTAAAACGTTAAATGCTTTTCATTTACTAGTTCAATTATTTTATGCTATATATTAAATCTTATTGTTAGTTGAAAGCTTATACCTCGTTTGATAACACAAATGACAACAAAATACTTCTCTATAAAAATAATAACACTAAGTAAGAGATTAAAGTTGCGAGAAAATTACGAAGAAATATATTAGAAAAATTTGAAAAAAATTAATTTTTTTTAACTTTTTTGAATTATAAATTTTGTGCGTAACAAATCAAGGCGTGCTTAAAAACATGCATTGAAATTAATTTATACGATTAATTTTTATTTGGCGGCAGAAATTTTATAAATATCTCGTAAACAAGATTCCAGATTACTCTACTTACTGCTCTTACATATTTTTAAAAGCCTCCGAAGGTTTGAAGAAGAGACTTTTCTATTTCGAAGCACTGACTCACACTTACGTCAATCCGTAAGATTTTCGCCGATTTACGTATTAAGGCGCTCCTTTCAACATTATGAATCATCAACCGAGATTTATCATCGTTCGTGTTCCCTTTAAGAAAGCAAATAATTTTCAAACGTACTGTCGAACGAGAAATTATTTAAAATACGCGCAAATAATCTTCTTCCGAGTCTTCTTTTTAATATCAAATTTCAAGAGTAAACAAATCTTTATGCAATACTATGTAAATCACGCTAGTAGATCGGTAATTAATGATACAATAAAAATACTATAATCATAATAATTATATTGATTACATATATCAACAAAAATTCTTTTAAAACGCCAGCAATTGCTGACGAGGAACACGTAAGAGATTCTTTTCTCGCGATAGAGCGAGAATTTCCAGAGAAACTCCATTTCGGAATAAAGTGATATTTCGTGACCTGGGTCCAGCAGCGGTCGCCGTGTATGCCACGGCGATCCAGAAATAAACTGAAAGGCACTCGGATTTGCCAAGGAAAGCAAAAGTTATATAGAAATTAAATTTTACCGCGCCAGAAACACGCACGTTGGCACGAAACGAACTTATTAGCTTCCAGGAAAAACTCAGAAAAGCGTGTCACGGATGACGTGATCGCAAGTTCCTGATTTATTTACAAACAGTAGATATTTTTATACCAGCGTGGGTGCAAAGAATAGCACGACGCGAGGGAAGATAGACCGCGATCATGGAAGATGGACACAGAACACAAGAAAAATCTTTCGTTTGATATGCGTTGCAGCGCATAAAATAAAACACAATGACAAAACACTATGCGTTTTAAATCCAAATACATGGTATTTTGTTTATTGAAAAAGTTTGAAACTAGACCATCTTCAAGTGTTTAAAAAATAGTGATAAGAATAAAACGTTTTAATATCTTAAAATTAAATGCTTCTTTTTATTTTTAGTGTGCCCAACTAGATTTCTTTCTAATAATTGACAATTATGCTATAAAAGAAAAATATACGTAACAGATGAGAAATACGTCGGATTTTATTTTAAAAAATATCAAATTCTTTATATCGTACCTTTTTATTTGTAAACTATTATATTTGCGTTAATAATTGCAACTCTCCTCAGCGACATTTTGATTCAAGATGGTATTTCAAGTTTAATTTTATTACCCTAGAATTACTAGTGTATGAATATTACATGAAATTGGCTTAATTCCAAATGCAATGTATTTCTAAGGCAGTATTTCTAAGACAGTTTCCTCGATCATTACATTCATTTGCCTTAATCGTTCGTACCATTAGCATAACTTTCCGAAACTTATTTAGTCCATATATTTCCATGACGCATTTTAAAGCAGTGATAAATTTTACTTACAGAATAGATTACGTAAATTAACGAGAATGAGACGGAAGTTACAGAAAATAATGTAATTTTCTGAAAGATGTATATAGATTCATTTATTCATAAATTACACACGTATATAGTTCGAATAATGATACAAATTTGTAGAGTCTTGCTAATTTATAAAAAAAAGTAGAAATTTATAAAGTTTAATTTATATAAGATAGATGCATTTATGACATAATTTAAAATCGCAAAAGATTATAAAGATAAAGCTGGTAATCATATTGTAAAACTTAAAAACTATTTCTAAATAGTATCCTAAATTTATAAATATTGATTGGATCTTTTGACTGTTAGTAATATAATGTTGAATTGCGTGTATGTGTCATGTAGTTTGTGTTTATGTGTCCATTTAATTGTGTAAACGGGACTATATTGTATCTTTTAATTTTTAGTTTATCTCTTTAATATTCATATTTTCTTTGACACATTTTATTATATTAACGTAATAATTTATTTCGAAATCGGCAACGAATACGAATAATGTATTATATGTAATTGCTTGTATTTGTATAATATACTGTATTACGTTTAATATAAAAGTTCCGTGTGATTGTATATACATAAAAGTTGTTCGTGTAGACGATACATTGTTTGTGTATATATGTAATGAAATTAGGATTTTTCATAAAATATAAAGCGCATCTATACGATATCATAAATGACACACACAGACAGAGGAGTTCGGACTTACATTTACATGCAAACTACAACTGTTACGATTTCGTATAAAAAATATATTCTTCCATGACTAGATAGAAAATTAATATTGCTATACATTATTAATATCTGATATAGAAAAAAGATTAAAATAATGAATAAAATTAATAATGAGAATTAAATAATAAAAAAATTAACTGTTAAACATCGATATCTAAAGATTGACTAAAAAAGGTAATAAGTGAAGTTAGTAATAAATATATTGTAGAGATGCGTATATATTCGCGACAATATGAAAAAAATGATTATTCTTATAAAAAAAGTAGTATCAACACAAATTATTCGATCTCATTTATGCCAATAATAATCGATGATAAAAAACAGATCGATGTTATTTGCAACTTTTTATGGACTTCATGAATTTGAAAAATATACTTTAAAGCATAATATCCTTATTATCTCGCACACATATTTAATACGCGCGGTTAAAAATGCGATTTATTTTAATGTTTTTATTGTATCATACTCCGTGTTCGATAGTCTAACCAGTCATGTAGACGTATATGATACAGATGTGTGTTAATTCATTTCTATAAAAAAAATTTACATATGTCGAGTATTTCCAAAGCCACCGTGACCAGACTGACTGGCACCCTTATTATACCCCATCTGAAGACCCAGGTGACCCTCGCTAGCACGAAGTTGATCTTCAGTGAAGGCTCTTTTGTTCTCTTCCGCCATTTTCGGTCCTAAACTTGGCCCGGTCCAGTCATGTTTCTGCGTCTATTACAAAAACATTTACTCCAATTAAATTTCACAAATACTTATTAACGATTAGAGATGTAAATGAACTGTGGCAAATTATGTCTGTGCTATGCTGATTTTACATGCATCAAATGGAAAGTTTTAACTCTTTTCCTTATATATAAAAACTTTTATATTATTTTCTATATTTAAAATATGTAAAAAGTATTGTTTATTTTTTTAAGTTAATAAAAGACCTGATATTTTCTAAAAATTTAAATATAAATATTCGTTCCAATAATATTCGATCGAAAGTTCCTTTATTATATTCTTTTTCTTTATATCACGTAAATATATTGTGAATAATAGATATTTTGTTAGCCTTAATTATGATTTTAATAATCAATCAAACTATTATTTCGAACTACTTACGAGTCTGCCTAAGGCATATAAGCAGAGGGTGACTTGAGGGATGTTGCGTTTCTCGAAGAGATCCGCGGTTTGAAAAATTTCTTCTTGCGGGACACCGTAGTTTTTGATCGCCGCTTGGAATCTATTGACAGTAGTAACAAATATAAAGTCTCATAAAAATCGTTATGCGAAGTAAGATAAAGGAAGATAGTTTTCTCTCGCTTACCTTTGAATATTTTCCATAAGCTGGAAATTGGTGCCCTTACTTTGAATCTTTTTGACTGATCCGGGCGCAAGTTTGTTGATTAAATTACAAAGGATCACACCATCCTTTAAAATGTCATCGTAGTTTCCTGATGGGAGCTTCTCGCCTAACACAGCTTCGATCCAGCCGAGGACCTCGGCTTCCTGTTCTTTATTACGAGCCTGAAAGGATGTAATGTAACTATAATATACATATAAATGAACTTTTCATACAAACGCGTATCACAGCGATATTATTTTTAACATTATCTTTCATCTCATTGCTGTCTAATCCTCATTTTTACCAACGTAGATTAACTTTAATTTCTGTTGAATTTATTCTTCATCTTTTTCTAGATTTTCTTTCTAAAAATTAGAAAATAATAAAGAATGAGTTAACCTCAAATTAAAATTAATCTATACATTAGAAATAGGCATAAAATTTTTTGTAGAAATTCCCACGCGGACTATGCATGTGAGCATCGTAAGCACTTAGTGGATGTCTTAAAAATGACTGTATCAGAAATAGACCGCGGTGAGTAGCGGTGTAGGATTACTCGCGTAAAGTCCAACATCGAAAATAAAATACGGCGACTGATGTCTTGGCTTTTACGAAAACTGGTAAAACGGTGTTAAACTATCGAACATCTGTCTCGCTCGTCCGCGTGAAGTTAATTTATATAAATTGCAATTTTGATTCACATATCTACTACACTAAAGAATTCTCCGAAGGGATTGATGCATAAGTTTTTATGTTAAGAATGTATTATTATAATATATTTATATTATATTATAAATGTTATTATTTCCATAAATAATGATATTATATGTGCATTAAATCTTCGCATAAAAAATAATAACAACATATATCTATTTCCGTATGATTGTACATTAAAAAAATGGTTTAGTAATAAATAATGTTACCAAACCATTTGATAACACTTACTAATATATGGATAAATATTTAGGAAAGTAAAATTATTTTTGGTTATATTAACCAAACGTTTAATTGGTATTATTTCATTTAACATTTGGTAGCTATTATCTCTTTTTTTAATGTAATTAGTTCCTCTTTAATCAGACACATAAATTTCACAACAATTTCACGGCAAATGTTTCGTGAAAAACGAATAACATCTTAATAGCTTTCACGAGTTCCGAATTTCTAACGTTCACACGAGACGATTTATGACCCGAACAGCTGCCTGACGTAAATGGAATCTGGCATCTCTCAGTCGAAGCTATAAATCAGTATTTATAGCAAAATTAAACGGCAACTCTAAAAAGCCGTTGATTCGAAGCGGATTCGGCGTGCGATAAACACCGTTGTGATTGTTTCGCGGCTCGCAATTCGCTCATCCATGCGATATTTTGGGAGATGTTGTTTAGATATCGACGATATAGATACAATGGACTTATGCAATTTTGTAGTAACATTGCGATCGCCGTTTGGGAAGCGCAGTTGCACAAGTATAATCTATATCTCGGCCATGTGGTTTCAGCCAAAACTGTTCCGAATATAATGAAGGCGACTTTAATTGAGCGCGATTGATGTGCACGATATATTATGATTCGCTCATGATTGTGCACGATAAATGCACGTGTAGTTATTTTCAATCAGTTATGCTCGTTTCTACCAATATAGATTAATTTTAATCTCGCGATTCAACTTACTTTTTGTTTTTTAACTCTTAAGAACTAGAAAAAGATGATGAGTTAATTAAACCAAGACTAAAATTAAACTACATTGATAGAAACGGATATTAATGTAATTATTTTTAATTTGACAATATAATGTATTACATTTGTTATGAATGTAACATTTATTAACAAAGTAATGGTATTGCAAAGCTAAAACTTGAATTTATAAAATCGGAATTGTGTAAACGTCGAGCAACAAAAAAAAATTTCTTTTAAAGACAGAATAAATATAATACGAATCATGTCCATAATAATCATGTTCTGGCAAAAAGTTGGCAATTTTCGCTGCGCTGATGTTGGCCATAAGATTGACGGTAACCCAAACAACACACAATATTTATAAAATATTTATAAAAAATATTTATAAATATTTATAAGATTTATTTTAAATATTTTATAAATATATTTTTGTGATCTTAGATTGCACAGATCATAAACATTTATTATAAATATTGTGAAATATTTATTGTAAATGTATAGTAAATGCTATAAAAATACTTAATGAAACATTATAATCCAAGTAAAAAATACTTATTAGAAATATGTAGTTATATTTATCATAAATATTACATGAAATATTAAGTCTATATTTTTACTAATATTTCGAGTAAAGCTTTATACAAAATATGTATAAAATATCTATATAACATTTAAAAAATGAATATTAATAAATATTTATCATAAATATTCTGTGCTGTCTGGGAATGTCTTCGAATTTGTATGCCGCGAAGCCGCGTCGACTTAGAATTTCCAACTTCTTATCTGCAAAGTGTCAGACCGGCCGAGGCAACGTGTTCTCCGTCGCATCCACTCGAGATGATATTTTAAGATCCATTTTCAAGGGGAGCGGCTTCCGTTCGTGCGAGCGCGCCCTCGCCGTTTCCGAGGACGTTTCGACGTGACACGGACGCCGCTCACTAAATTTAAAGTTGAATTAGATGGGCCCTCGTAAGATTCACATCTTTAGCGAATTGGTTGATGATAAATCAAGTCGCGCACCTGTGCCGACTTGATTTGTTGCCAACCAATGCTGGAGTGTGCATCGGCGTGTTGCCTCGACGCATGAATCGGACATTACAATCGAGGGTAAGGTAGCGGACAGAATTCAGGAATTCCACAGGATTTCCGCATACGCGGGATTTCATAAATCCAGAGCCATTTATGTAATAAATTACGATATGAAATAAGGCGATATGAAATTGAACCGTATAATGATTAATTCGAACATGGAGATGATAAACGATGATCGTTAAATAAACGAATAAAATGAGCTAGGATGTATTTAATAATGAAAAAAGGAAAGGAAATGTGTAAATTTATCCCAAGCAGAAAAACAAATCCATTATGATATTAAAATGATGCCAAAATGACTCCAAAATGATTAAAAGTCATTTTTCCATCATTTCCGATTCATTTTAATGTCATTTTAACGTTATCGTAATTTGTTGTTCTGCTAAATCTATTATTTTAATAAATCGGCTATTTCAGATCTTTATAAATGCACATAACTTTTTAACCTTTTTACTTTTTATAAATGTAATATTTTTTAATTTTTTAAATAAACAGTCTGTCTATATCTAACGTATTAACAGATATATAGACGAATAACATTGATTTTTCAAAAATGATATAGTTTTTGACAATAATTGATAATTTAAATAAAGATTAAATAATATTGCAAATTTTTTGTGTAAAGAAGACAAAAATAGTTACTAAGCTTCTCTGTAACAAACCGCGCCCAAATTTATTGAAACTCATCTTTATATAAGCTACCCATTGATTCACTATACATTTGTTTTGGTTCTATAGCATTTTGAGATAACATTGAAGAGTATGCGTTGCATAACGTTATTTATGTTAGGATATAAATACACCGGATGTAGACTAGAAAGACATACATCAAAGAAGAACACTGACGTAAAACGATGTATCAAAATGATGGATTGAATCGCAACCTTAAATAAACGTAAATTAATAAGAGCTACGAGCCAATTAATGATATATTTAAATATTAAACAGACATTTCGATCTTTTGTCAGGCCATCTTCAATGTTTACAAAATTTAGAAAATTAAACGCAACTATAACTACGGTAGAAGTTATACGTTAAAAGCTTTTGAATGGTCGATAGTATCGGATTGCTATAATTAAACAATAAAAATCATATTTTTATAATCCATATCGATTACAAGATATATTCATAACAACATTACAGAATGTTAGTATTAATTATTCCTTTATTTAAAAAAAATATGTGAAAGTTCTGATCATGATTTTCACGTTTCATCGATGTCAAGTCATACACTGCGTATTATTTTACTTGTATAAAAAAATAGATGTATATTAAAATGTGAGTTTTTTACTAGGAATGTCACATTAGGATCAAATCGCGATTAATCGTCACCGGAGTGTAAAAAAAAGAAGTAACGTCTCTCTTAGAAGGAAACGTACCGGCATTCTGTTGCTGCGTTGTTTCCTCGACGACGATGACTTTTCCGGATTGCGTATGACTTTGAAACTTCGATGATGTCGAGTAGAAACTAAATCGGACGCCGCGCGTCGCGACGCTATATGGCATCATCCCCTCCGCCGATACTTAAGTGTTTTTGGCTTGTTGCCTAGTTTTTGGGTGGGTATTCCCACACCCCCGCTCGTAACCAGATTTTGACATCGCGGCCCTATTTACAGGACGCGGCATGACCCTAAATTAAATTACGATTCACGTTTGGACAGATCCGCGGGAAAGCTCTTGGCATTGCAGACGCATCGTATTTTATATTATATTTTATAACAGGCACTAAAAGCGACGAAAACAAAACGGTGACAGACGAAGATTCCGGTAAGAAGGAAAAAACGAAAACCAAATAAATGATTTTATTCGTAACTTCCAGACGATATAAATTTCACGTGTGAGATTTATTAGAAATATGAATAAGTTTACACTAAAAAAATATCCTAAATTTTAATAAATATTTGTTTGAACAGTACTGACTAAATATTTATTAAAAGTAAACATATTTATTTGGTAAGAATCATTAATTTGATTTAAGATGATTAATTTGACATTTTTTTATTGAATAAATTTATTAATTTTAAATTTTCAATAGTTAGTACTATTTATTTAAATAAATATTTATTAAAATTTAATAATTTTTTTCCAATGTATCTATGAAATTAATTAAGAGATCAATATGTGCATAAGTGTACAAATGTATTTTTTTCCACTTATGGAGGCTACTTTTAGCAGAATTTCGTGATTTGACAGTCAGAAAGTTTTCTTACTGACAGCTGCATGACATCTGATGTCGCACTCTATTTTTAGTGTACATACACGTGTGTGCTATGAATCTTAATCTTAAATATTCGAGCGCTTTAGCGTTAATTGATTAAATAGTTTAAAATGCATAAAGGATCAGTTCAGCAACTCGCAAGCTTATATACAGCTTGCATTATCGTGTTCGGTTTAGATCGCATATCAGCCATTATTTTTGCACTTACAATCAATATAACACGTTTAAAGAGCGACAGAAAGAGAACGAATTAAAGATATAGTCTTAAAAATATTTAAACTTCATTTTGCACTTTAAAAAGCAACTTAAGATGTTTTCGCGAACATTAGTTTATCGCTTAATATTGAAATAGATAAAAATAAGACATTTACCTTCAATAGGGCATTTATTTTTACAGAATTGTCTAAATAGATGAACAAATAGCGAGATATAACAAGAAGCAAACTCAAAGCTGCGCATTACGAAATATCGCTTGCGACTTTTAACGAGTTCGTCATCTTATGGAATATTTCCGCGAAACGTAAAAAATTCGAACAAGTGGGTGCAATTTGCCGTGTATGTTTAACATACGTGGACATTCGCCAGATGGAAACGCCGATATGTGAACGTCATAATTTCTGGACTTCGTCCACTTCGAAGGGTGATGCCACCGCCGAGTTTAGATTTCGTCAATCGTCGCTGTTTCCAAGTAATACAACGGATCTGCGTAAACGTCTGGAGCGACTTACTGATGCGTCCGTCTGTTCGAAATATTATATATAAATGCGATAACAAATGGCACGTCGTCGATAGTTTCCCTCACAATAAATGATCTGTGTAAATCGTGAGACATTTTAGAAATATATTCTTGGGTACTGTGACGCGATAATAAATGTACAAAACAATAGACGTTTGAAAAAAAACTTATAGATATACCCAGACAGTACAGAATATTTTTATGACAAATATTTATTAATATTCATTTTTTGAAATGTTATATAGATATTTCATATATATTTTACATAAATCTCTGTGATAAATCTTTTTTTATAATTATGTTCAAAATCTAACTCGTACTGAAGAAGACTCTGTGAGTTAAAACGTTTTGGAATTATATTATTTATTTATTAATTAATTAATTAAATTGCAATCTCTTAAACACCTTGATTACTTGTTTTTGGTCGTTATTAAAAATTTTGATTGCTTTGCAAATTATCGAGCGTTATTATATTGTTTATTCATAATAAATGTTTATGATCTGTGCAATCTAAAACCACAAAAATATATTTACAAAATATTTAAAATAAATCTTATAAATATTTATAAATATTTTGTAAATATTTTATAAATATTGTGTGCTGTCTGGGTACGAAGTAGAATAATTTTTTATTTTTCACAAATTATTGTCAAATTATTTTGCAGTAATTAAAATCGAACATATTGCATCGAACATATTTCGCTTTATATTAAAATATATTTATTAATAAAATAATCTGTGCTAAGAGTACAATAGCATTAAAATCTTAATTAATTATATGTATAGTCCAATATAATAATCGTTAATATCTTACATATAATCATTAATATTTATATTATAATTTCTCTAACTAAATTTATTTAGAATTAAAAGACATAATTTTATCACTATTGTTACTCTAAGAGAATTTTTATTTATCCCAATATTTTATATTCTATAAAATATTAAATAAAAATCTGCAGAAGAGACAATTGAAAAAATTATATCACAATAACGTGGAGGAGAGAAAGAGAGAGAAAATGAGTAGAGCGTAATGAAAGATAAAGATGACGAAACCCAGACCACGCCGTTCGAACACGCGCGTTCTCGAGCGCGTGTAACCTCCTGCCGTCATGCGATCCTGTTCAGATATATTTTCTTGCAAATACCCGGCTACCTTATCTGTTAACAATGGCAAATTTTAAACACGTGGAATGGACGCCATGAACGGGCGAGTCCACTGCGCAGTGTGCTGGACCATCTCGGCGCGTCATTTCGGCAGCTGGCCTCTTAGTTTCGAAAACGTACGCTACGTGGAGCGCACTCGATCGACTTTCTCGTCATTAAAATTGCTCCACCACTACTATGAATACGAGGCCGGGAGGAAGCCTCGTCAGCTTTGCGCAGTGGCGATATCGTAACCAATGAGGTTCTACCGAGGTGCGATTATTGCTAGTTGAAAACTTTTACCAATACCCCGCCATGACGATGTGAAATACCATCGGCTACGGCAATTTTTGAAAGTTTCTGCGGAAACTGATTATCGAATTCAAACTTAAAATATCCTTAGAAATAGGGGATGTTATCTCTACGAATTTTATTTGATAGACGAGAGGGGACTGTCTTTATTAAGAAGAACTTTAGACACACTCCTGCATAACATATCCTAATTTTATTTGTGCTATTTTTAATCTGTTGCATATTTTTCTCAGATATTTTATGATATTAAATTGTTTAAATGAGAGCCTTCGTTCTACCATTAAGCAAAATAAAATATGAAACAAAATAGGAACATATATTAATTTAATAATAATTTTGAGAATTAAATTCTTTATAAATAAAAATAAAATAAAATTTTCTTCAACTTATATCTTAATAAAAATAATTCGATATTAATACTTTATTAATTGCATTATTATGAAAGAAATACTGAAAATTCAATGATAACGTTTCAATATAAATTTAACGTTGAACATAGTAATAATAAATTAATTTTACATATAATTAATAGTAAATTAATAATAAATATTAGAGTATAACTATTTTTATCCCGATACTTAAATAAATTCAATTTTTATTACTTTAGTTCTATTTTTAATAATAAAAGATAAAATTGTAATAATGTCATTATCATAAATAAATAATTTGCACTTTTGTAGGAGAAACATAATAAATATAAAGTTGTACTTTCTATTAAAAATATCTGTAAAATAAAAATGTATTTTCTCATTAAAATTCTATAGGTATAAAAAATGTAAAATTAATTATATTTATCTGTATTATCTCTACGTTATCAAATGTCATAAAGCTATTTCTCTGACTAAATTCTTTTTAAATTGATAAGAATTAAATAGCATGTGTGTCAGCTTGAGATCGATATTACAGAGATAATAAAAATTTTCAATATAACATATTTCTTTTTAAAAATAAATTTATAGTTTTTTCTGTTTTCTAATTATAAATTTCTTTCTAATTGCAGGTTGCTGGCAAGCGCGAAGCAAGCCAGGAAGCTGAAGCCCAACAATGGATGGAGACTGTAATCGGTCGAAGATTTTCACCTGGTGAGTCTTTGCATATAATAATTTAATTAATATAATATTTCATTTTAATTCACAGAGAAATGTTCGTCCAATTTGCACGTCGTATTGCAGCGTATATATTTATACGCTGTCGTTTATAAATTTTTGAAGAAGCAAACAAATGCATGAATTAATATTATTGGCATTATTATCCTGTGATTATTATTTTTCATATTTCACGAATTAACAACATGACTCTTAAGATTTATTTATTTATTATAAATTCGATGTAATATAGTCTTATAATTATATTTATGGAAATAAGTAACAAGTTGTTGGATAATAATTAGTTGTTTATTACTTTTTCGGAATATTATAAAAAACAAACGGCACTTTTATAGAATAATTTTCTTAATATTCTTCAATGCGTTTTTTTTTATTATTAAAAGTGAATACAGTTGACAGTTTTATATAAAAGCCCTGCATTTATATATAATAGCTCTATAAACGCATATGAACTCCTGTTCCGCGTAGGTGACGCGAATCCGAAAGCCTTTCGACGTTTTCATCCCCGTCGGGACGATTTAACTAAAGGGATGGAGAGAAGCGCATACCGTATCTAACTAGAATCACATAATTGCCGGATACAAATGTCAGGTCGCGTGACGTCGCAAAGGTTAAACTTCGTCGAGGTCAGTTCCCCCGTATAGTACATCATGTGATCGAAAATGCAACCGGCGACGAAGGTACTGCTCGCTGCAGAACGGTATTGATTTCGAATGTTTGGCGGTACAACCTTGGGTATAACTGATGCAAAACGTACCGTAATACATGAACGTTTAAACTCACGTGTTACGTAACCATTGTCGTAAGTCCTTGAAATCGTCAAAACCGCGTTTGAAAAAGTATAGAGATAAATACAAACGTGTAAATGTAATTTGCATGTAAAAATTAATCGTGTTTCATTGATATTCGTGTTCGAAAAAAAATGTCTGTATTTTTAATTACAGCGGTATTTATGGCTTTTCATTTG